GGGGAAATCCACGAAGGTTTCTATGGAAATCATGCTAGCCAACATTCTTTGGTACGGAAGGCACCTAAAAGAGTTTCTATTGGCCAACTATGAGAAAAGATGATGTACATTTTGCGAAGAAATGCGAAAAATGTCAGAGATTTTAAATTATACCTCCAAGCATTTCGAGAGTTGATTACCATCAATAGAGCTTTTTCTTTTGCGAAGTGGTGCATTGATTTTGTAGGACCTTGCATAGAGCCAGATCTAACTTAAGGTTCATGATCATGGCAATAGATTACTTCACCAAGTGGGTAAAAGCAGAACCTCATACCAATACCACTGAGACTAATGCCTGCACGTTCATTTGGAAAAACATCATCTGTCAGTTTGGAATTCCAAACTCTATTATCTCCAACAATGACGCATAATTCCACGATAAAAGTTGAAAGCTATATGCGAAGAACTGAGAATCTGTAGACATTTTTTTCACCCCATATTTTCCTTAGGCTAATGGAATAGTGGAAATGGTAAACAAAACCTTATAAAGCATTCTGAAAAGAAAGCTCAATTCTATAAAGGTACTATGGAGACAAATTGCCGCAAATTTTACGGTCATACCATACCACTACAAGGACTGCCAGATGAGAGACTCCCTACTCATTAGCTTATGGAGTCGAGGCATTGATACTTGTGGAAATAGGCCTAGGTTCGACGAGGACGTTAAACTTTGATGAAGAACAAAATGAGGAAGCAATGAATGCGAACATAGATTTCCTATAGGAAAGGCTAGAGGCTTGTCAAATGAAGCTCATGGTATGCAAAAGTAAGATATAAAGACATTTTAATTCCAAGATGCACAAAATCTTAAAGTAGGCAACCTAGTTTTAAAGAAGATTTCGTCACAGACAAAGAAATCGACTCAAAAGTTCTTTAGGTTCAAATTGGGAAGGACCTTATACTGTAATAAAATCGGGAACATATAAACTTGCGAACGAAAGGGATAAACCTTTCAAATACCCTTGGAAAGACGAACATTTAAGTAAATATTACCAATAAAAAATAGTCTATTTAACCAAATTCAGTTTGAACTAAACTGCTTGTACAGCTCGGGCTGTATAGCAACGTTCACAGCCCCCTCACAATAAGGGGGCCCCACCTCTGTTTTTTTTAAAATGTGTGCGGCCCCCGCAATGTGAGGAGACTGTGAACAAAGGTGTGAACCGTGCTGTAGCTATAACACGGTCCATTCAATTTACCTATCATCAAGTTATACACCTTCCCCTATTGGCGAGCTGAATTGCTTGTGCAGAAGACCTTTGTCAGACCTTTTTTTTTTTTTTTTTAATAACCCAGGTGTCCCAACTTAGTCGGACTAAATCCTGGACCTCTAGCCCCCGGCCCCTCAGTGACTAGTGGAGGTAAATCGCAGGTTGTGTCCTTGTTGGTTCCCAGGTTCCCACATGGCTTTTACTCCTTCCCCAAAGGGACCCTCCTCCATGATTATTACATCACCAAGCTGCTCCAACCCTTCCTCTGCTTATTACATCACTTGGCTGCTCCAACCAGGAATCGAACTCCCCACACTTGGTTCCAGAGCCCTCCAATGTGATTGTTCCGCCAACTTGGATGTGCCCTGGGGGGCCTTTTTCAGACTTTAATAGTCACAAAGTATACTCAAGCGACATGACATTGGTATAACGAACAGATGGCAAATCCAAAAGATTCTTTTCATTATAAAAAAAGAAAATTACAAAAATTACTTCACCAAGTCATTAAAAAATGTTACATTCAAATGAAACTAAAACCACGTGGCAACCTCTGAGGTCCCGAAAAAATGCGAGAAAATACTCAAGCACGATATCCCGTCGTGAGGTAGCGTAATTGAGAACCACTCGAAGGTGGAGATTTGTGGCTAATATTGCTCTAACTCGTCAGCTAGAGGTAGACATAAGCATTTTGGAGAACTCGAGTTTGGCAAAATAGACTGCGATCGTCTGATAACCCACGTAGCAACAGCCAACCTGAACGAACGCCTCTTCACCCTTTTCCTCCAAGCATATGCACATAATATAAAAACATGGCAAATGTAATCCAAAGTGGTTGCTACCAAATGTTTAGGCTTTTTTTTTTTTTTTTGGCCTATTTCTCAATGTCAAATATGGAAAATGCCCTGGGTACAGGGAATTTTTTCACAGATGTTTTACAGGGCAGTCATATTGGTTGGCCCCATGTGAATATTTTATAGTGGTGGGCCCCCCTGCTGTGTGTATTTTGTACAATATCTGTATAAATTTCCCTATAAGTGTAGCACTGTTTGTCAAATATTTATTAAAGCTGCTACAAAAGAGGGAATAATCAAATCGCAAAGGTTCACTGACTGCTTCAGTTCCCAGATATCGTAACCACTATTAGAGTGTATTTGATTGCAAGCATGAAATTTATATGAAAAAAAATAAATTCTAAACAATTAAATTACCAAGAACTTATTTTGCATGGAAGTCATCTATTAAATGTGTATGATTGATTTAATTTTCAACCTAAAAAATGTTATACTTGTCTATTTTTTATTGGTGAGTAGATGAAAGAAAAAGGATGTAGATGAGAGAAAGGAGAGAGAATTACATGGAAAATAAAACATACTCCTCTTGGAAAAAATATTTTTCTTATTTTCAGGAAAAATATGGTCATGTGACTAAAAATAGAAAAATATTTTCTATATATCAATCAAGCAGCATAAAAGATAAAAGTAATAATTTGCATGAAAAAATGACAATTTTCATAGAAAATATTAACAATCAAATACACTGTTAAAGGCACAACGAGAGGACACGGTGGAATCATGAAAGACGATGATGATGATAGAACGCCAACATCCCTAAATAAAGCCCTAGTACTAACAGAAATATTTTGAGAATCATTTTGTAAAAACATACTATGAAATTATTTTTCAAAGAACCAAGCTCTTAATTTTTTTACCATCCTAAAGATAATATTGCAAAGATACTCAGGCCCTTAAAAGAAACTACAACGATGTCAATTGCCCCATAGTTATAATTTTTGAAAACAGATTCAAATAGTTGGATCTCAACAAAATTAATCTTGATCGTCCAAACACAGTAATTTTAGCGACTAAATATGAAGAAGATTTTTATTTGTACAGAAAACTGTTCCACAGAATTTTGCAATAAATCTCTCATGTGGGACACATGTTGTGATAAAAAAATGTCAAAAAATCCCCTCACCCACCCCCTACTGTATCTGTTTTGTATGACTTTGTCCGTGCAATTTCTGTACACATAGCAAGCTACAAATATGAAAGGTCCATTCATGTATGTGGATCAGATTATACGTCCTTACATTGAAAAATGTATTTGACAGTTGCAATACTGAAGAAGTTTTTTTTTCATCTAGTGATGCATTAATGATAATTAATGCATAGATTAACCTTGGAAATTGCAATATTAAAACCCTTACTTTTAAGTCCACAAGTTGGCTACTAACATAAATTGTTAAGCTCAAACCATGGGTATTCGTAGATTATAATAGAACCTGATTCTTGTCAAAATCAATTGACCTAGAGGCCAACCCTAGAATTCATCAAACAAATCTCTAGGCTCACTTATTACAATAAATTGCTAAAGTCCGTACGATTGAAAAATCGAATAAAGGGGCCGTTTGAGCTCCATTATTTGTAGATTATAATGAGATGAATAATATTTTTTTGAAAAATGAGTGATTGAAAAGTTTTTGATTTACGTGTAATATTATTTTATTGAAGATTGTGTAGTTAAAAGTATGAGAAGGAAAATTTTAATTTAATGTAATGAGAAATAATGGAGCTCGATCGGGGGCAAAATCAAAAGCATTTTAGGTTTTTAGGTTCGCTTAACGCAAAATCTAAACAAAGTCATAACCCTAACATAAATAATTAGGCTTGAACTTCGATGACTATTTGTTATCAAATAAAATTTACAGAGAATTAGTGACGAACCTATGCATATGCCAGTGAACATTTTTTTTCAAGTCAGTCGATCATGTGTGAGCTCAAGATAAGGTTAGCAAGTACTTGCAACGCGAAGTCTTATAACCAACATTAGGCATAAATAGCGATCAAATGTACTTGTAATTAACTTCACCAACTATTCTATGTCAACAAAAACCATTATCAAAACACACATGGTGAATGAAGAACAAGTGGACCGGTGTATAAAACATGAAAGAAAATAAATTCAGCAAAAGTTCACTAATCAATAACTGTCGCGTGTCATTAACAGAAAGAAAAGTAGCATCTAATTCACCATATCAAGTGTACCAATATAAATAATGCTATTTGCAGTCGCTCTACGTGACATACACATGACAAGTGATTATTTGATGCATTAATGAATAAAAAAGCTACCATATTAATTCATCAAATAATCACATGCCATGTATATGCCACATATGACGACTACCGCAGTAAGCCACTACGAATATCATTACTCGTACCAATATAGTTTAGTATAGCGGGAGAACCAAGAAAATTAAATAGCTAAACTATCCATAATTACTAAACTCACATTAACTACAAGAACAAAGAGAATGCCAGCACAAATTTCACAATTAAAAAAAGCATTATTTCCATTGGGTCATTACAAGTGTTATGGGATGAAGTATAAAAGTTAAACTCCATACAGCATCTTAATAGTTTCAAATGCCAACACATCATTTGGCCTCAGATACATGAGCCTAAAGAAGCATGAAGTCGTGCACAACTAGCATTTTTGGCGCTTATTTTTTTAGCTTTTGAAAAAAAAAAAAAAAAAAAAAAATTATATATTCATCTCCATTTAAAAAAAAGAAAAAAAGAAAAATGCATAATCATATGTTATTTTCACTCAATTGGTAAATAACAGTGAGTTATTAATCCAAGTTCAACAGAATTTAAGTAAAAACTGCAAAAAGAAACACGAAAAGAATTTAAGTAAAAACTGCAAAAAGAAACACGAAAACAAAAATAGGGGAGAGAGAGAGAGAGAGAGAGAGAATTGCATTTCAGATGACTTTAAAATTGGCTGATGGCATAATTGCAAACTAATCAACAACACCCAAAGGAGAGTTGCATTTGGACTTCCTCTAGAGATAATTTAGCACTTGAAATGATTTACCAGAACAAAAAATATCTCTCTATGCATAGAACTAAGAGCTCTATCAGTTTTGTATTTCTGTTCTTAATAAAAGCCTACTAATGAATGGTGATACCGCTTCAAGCAATGCTTTGGGACATTCTTCGTGTGGAAGATGGCCACAACCAGATATTGCCACAAGTCTCTGTGCCACAGCGAATTAAAAGATGAATCAGAAAATTTATTTTTGTTTTCAATTTTTTTTTTCCACAATTAAATTTCTATATATTAACAGAATTTCCATTCATAAATCAAACCAAAAGTTAAATATGCTACCAAAATTTATGTGAAGTCAAATCAGATTTCAGTTTCACTATTAGCACACTGTAAACCAACAAGATGTTATTTGCTTTAAAGCAATGTTGGGATTTATAAATATATGAAAAATTATTCTCAAGCACTTGGCTATATATATGACAAGCCTTGATATTCTTGGTTAAAAATGGTGTTCCGTACCACATCATAGTTCACCTTATAATAAAGTTTTAAAACAATATCCAAAACAACATGAAAAAACGTCAAAGAGAGTAAAAAGCTAGGGTGTCATGGGGACTTACAGAATCTACAAGTTTAGAAGCCATAGTTTGAACAGATTTTAGAGGGACAATGACATCTTCAGCCCCGGCAATAACCAAAACTGGCAATGTTTCAACAGCTTTCAGCAAGGATGCTGCATTAGGTGGTGGGATTACGGTCTCACATGAAAGTTTCCCTATTTCATGAAGTGCTTCATCCCAACCTTCTACATGTAACGGGGCCTGACGTACACCAGAGCAGAAAAATATCAAAATTATTGAACAAAGGGATTACCTAGACAAAATTTGCCAAACAAAAACAAGGCATGGAAAACCAACAAAGACAAATGTTTATCCAAGGGAAGTTTGTCTATATCTTGTCTGATTGCTATAATGTTATCCATAAAAGCGTCAGTGAACTTTCAAATTTTTATAGTTCAAATAGGCCAGTAGAAGAACATTTCAAGAAGATTAATACTTCATATTGATCACAATCAGCTTGTTCCATTCTCAAATTGATCTAAATCAGTTCGTCCATTCTACATATTAAAAAGGAGGAAGTTATGGCAATAAGAGAACTCATTTAACTAGAGGTTTGTAGCACCACTGTAACATTGCAATAAAGAACTAAACTACAATGTGTTTATGTTTGGACAGATACCACCAACTGCCCGCATGTCAATTGCTTAGACGTGGTTACATAAATTGATGTGAGGTGATCGTAATTTTCATATTCACGAGGTACATTTAATCCCCATCACTTGCTACCAGTGTAACTATTATCATGCCAACAATCAATAGCAGATAAACTACGATGGAATATAATTCCAGCCAAAAATCAAGCCAAAACAGTGAAAGGTTACAATGCAGTTAAAAAGACATTCACATTATTCATTACCACTATCCAGTATTTTTTAAAGATTTAAAAAAGCACTAGCTTATAAGTTTGGAAGCTGTTCTTAACATGAACTACATTGAGGTGGACAATTGGTTAAGATGTTGCTCATATAATCATATGTCCACGGACTAGGACAATTCAATTATTTACTTCTTCAACCAAATGTTGACAAAAATTGAACAACGCTTGTAGAGAATAGAAAAAGGAAAATGCAAAGAAAACAAATACAAAAGATGTGTTAGTTTTTTTTCAATTTGTATACCACCCAAGCTGATTAAATCACACCTCTGGGTTCAAAAAATCAATTTGGTAGTTGTTGAAAAAGATTGTTTTAAAATGATTTTGCAGAATATTGATATAGAAACAAATATCAAGGTGACATTGGGTGATTATTATGAGCAACCAAAAATTTGGGAGACAAGGACTTAATTTTTGCAAAAATCAGAGGAACCATGATTATTTACAGATAGATCAATACACAATGGCTGATGATTTTAAAGCCAGAGGTAACCGTCATAACACTGTTTTATTATTCACTCTTTCTTTTCCTATAAATTCAACATATTTTAGATAACCTTAACTACCATAAATCTTCTAAAATATTCACCTCCATCCCACACCATGTTTCTATTCTAATACCCCAGATATGGAGAAAATAGAATATTTCATGAAGCAGTTGAACAAACTGGAAGGACAAATTTCACAAAATATATACATATGTCAAAAAATTAATAATTCCACATCCTAAACTATAAAGGTGTATTTGATAGGGTGGAAATGGAATTGAAAGATGAAATTGGAATTGAATTTTCCAAATTTAGGTGTTTGATACAATTTTTTTTCCATGGAATTCGAATTCTAGGTTGTCTTGAAGTTTGGAATTTTCTTGGTTTTTAAGGGGGAAATTGGTTTTCCTACCTACTGTATCACTTTTTCTTTTTCTTTTTTTTTCCTTTTTTGTTGTGTTGGCAAGGGAAACAAATTCTAAAAATTATTGTAAAAAAATATTTTCTTTTAAATGACAATTTTCATGTAAAACAAAGCCAAACGAACACCAATGGAAACAAATTTAATCCCCAATACCAATAAAATCTATCCATTTAATTAATAATTTTCATGTAAAACAAAAACAAACGAACACTAAAAAACACTTTTATTTCAACATTTTCCACGTGGAAAATTATACCAATCAAACACAATAATTTACAATTATCAGGAAAATAATTCTAAGCAATTCAATTCCCTGAAATTTATTTTATAGGCAATTTCCATCTTTGCAATCAAACGGACCCTAATTGTAAGAACACAGAAAATGTAATTTTGGTATCAATTGTAGGCAAAAATACCTTGTAGAGGCTTAAAACTTCAGTTGTTAGTTTGGTTGCATCATACCATGCACGCCGATTAACCACCTGAGTAATTTCTGTCCGAAGTAAAGGACGGACCAGGTGCTTCTTTCCAAGTGATGTGCGTAATAGAATTCTTGCAAATGCAGGAACCAGTTCCCTTGACAAGCTTACACTCAGCAAAACAACTCCCTTTATTTCAATCTAGATGACATGCCATTTGGATTAGGACATATTTATGGAAGTCAGCAACAAACTTCCAAATTCCAAAACTATTTTGGACCCAAACACATGCATATCCATATTATTAGCAACGAAATTTTACTACATCAACTCTAGTAGTTCAACTCAATCCCATGAAACACGTAAATGAACTTGCACTAGCTATGATTCCCTACATACATTTCAAGGAGTTCCATAAGCACAATTGTCGATGATTATCATGATGTTCATATATAAAGCTCTATATTTAAGGGCACATCAAAGTTTAGTCTCTCTCTCTCTCTCTCTCTCTCACACACACACACACACACACACACACACAATTGGTGCAACCTAGCATATTCAGATTGAAGTGCATCTCTTTATGTAGCACTTGAATCTTTATTTTACCAAGAGCTTTCGGGCTGCTGTTTTATGTTTTCATTAACAATTTAAAGTTCAAAACAATTACAAACAGGACCCCTAAATAATATGTTTAATAAATTATTCTATCATTCTCTGAAAAATAAAAAGGTATCACACAGTTCTATTGCATAAGCATAGCCCAAGGAATGTCATCTCTTTCTTGACAAATAAATTAGATTCAAGTAAATCAGGATTTTAAAGTTAAAATTCCAGTATGTGTAGTGCCCACATTCACCTTTAACAAGCTAGGGTATTTGCTTTAAGTAACTGACATACAACACTAAAAGTTGCTCACATTCTTAGAATTTGCTGACGATTGGACTTTTTGCGCAGCCTTAAGTGCAAGCAATCCTCCATCATCATGGCCAATTAACACAACTGAAGAAAATCCCATCTCCAAACAAAAAGAAAGAAGCAGATCAACCTGAAAATAACAAACTTAATCACATGTTCAGACGAAGCCCCAAAACAGAAGATTAAAAACAAACGGAGAAGGCATTTGAAAGCGCAACACGTGCATTATTTTTTCTTAAGGGCACAGATACAAAGATGCAAGGCCCTTGGACTTCTGCAGTGACCAACTCTATTGAGTCAAACTCATCTACATTGATGAAATGATCTATATGTGTGCAAAAACTAATGACATGAATGAAGATACAGTGACTAGGGATGATTTCAAGCAAATACTTGTCGATCTCTAATCAAAATCTTTGGAGCATTAGAACTTAAAAAGTGCAAGTTTTGTTGTCCTTAGAAGTTTACTTCCTTTACAAGTTTAGACTTATTTTCAAGAAAATTAAGTTTTTTCATTAAAGAAGCAGCTTTCAAAATCACGTTTGGCAGTTAACTTAAAAGTAAGTTCGACACTTTGACTTACTTTTGAGCTCATCCAAACACGCCCTTATTATAGGAATCATTAAAAATGAAATTTCGCATCTTCAATCACAAGTCAATGTCGTACTTGGAAGAGTTGGCTAGCAAACTAACAGAAATGAACTGACGTTGGGAATTACAATTTCTCCCAATCACGGAGTTCAATATCACGGTAAACTCACAAAGAAGAAACATGAAAGAGTCATTGTTTCAATTCTTGCGATCATTTTTTGATTCACGCAAATTCTGAACGCTTACTTTATATATAAAAGAAAGACTCATGTATTAACATGTGTGAATCTCCGAATACAACTATTACCATCTTTATTTCCCAACTAGTCCCAAAGCTTCATCATCTACTATAAATCGTTCTATTTAATGCATCACAACAGATATATATGACACTCAAATCATGTAAAAAACCTAGCAAATTTGAACAATCAAAGTATACATTACCACAACGTACATTTTGGAGAAAGTAATCACCTGATTATCAAGCTGGTAAGGATTAGGCAATTCATTTTCCTCCCAATCCCTACGGCGTGGCCTGGACGTCAAACCCCAACCAGGCCTGTCAAATGCAACAACTGCACAGCCTACCTGCCTAGCTAGAATGCTCATCAAATTTCTCCAGGAAAAGACTCCCCCTCCAAAACCATGCACTAAAACAATTCCAAAGTGTCCATTTGCTTCTAGATCCTGTTCCAACAGTGGAGATCTCATATTGCTCATGTCATTGCTCTCACCGGTATCATCAAGGCTCAAAATTGGCATGTCTTTATACAATGGGGATGGCGGAGAATCATCTAACAGAGGAGTATGGAGAGAGGTACTGACATGAAATTGACTACTGATGCTCCTATGGATAGTGTATCGGGTTTTCAATGAAATGCTTGTTGCCGGTGCATCCACAAAGGAAGTGGAGGATAAGGAACAGGAAGGCGATCCAGGTATGCTTAGCTTGTAGTGAACCATTAATCCTTTACAAGAAACGAATAAGCTGTCCTTATCAGCAAGTAAACTAACTGGAAGTTCTCCATCATCCCGAGCAACACCTAGTCCTTTTCTCCTCATTTCACTATTACTTCTGAAAGTTTTCCCAGCAGATGGAGTAGGCGATCGAGGAACCTTATGGTAGCCAGAAAAGACCATCTTGCAAGAAAGAGCCTGCAGGTAAAGAGATCAGTCAAAACCTAGAAATATATGAAATCTCATTGTCAAAGCATATAAAAACTTCATCATATAATAAAGTTCTAGAAACAAAAGAAATTTTAATCAAATCTTCGAAGTAAAATAATTCACCAATCTAAAGCTACAATTAAAGCAAAGTAGCAAAGATCAGTGTACAAACACTAAAAGCACAGTTTATTCATTTAAACTGTATGATTATTCTAAAGAATTCAAGCCCATTTTTACTGAAAAGTTAAATTAGCATTTCACTATACTACCATTCAAAAGAACTAATAAATTCTGGTAAGATCAAAGTATCTAAAATTGCAGGTAAATGCGTAAAAACTAATAAACTAAAGGGTTGAAAGTATCATGAACTTACAGCTTCTGGGTCAACACGGTGCAACAAGAGCTTCCTCCTAGCTTTGCAGCTTGTACGATAGGCTACAACAATGTGACCAAGAGCAAAGACGACAGATGAGAGGAACAAGACGGGCATCCCCCAAGACTTCTTCAAATGGAGTCTCTGCCTCTGCCTTGAAAGACAAGTTAACTCTTCTGCCTCAAGTTGAGAATTGACAGCAAAAAGACAAGCCTTGAGAGCAAGAAGAAGTATTGAGATGATGGAGCAGAGTGTTACGGTTCCAAGGTACGGCCCCTGTGAGAGCATCGCGCCATCACACATTGAATATACATCTGTTGTCATTCAAACAAACCCATAAAAATCAAATCAATTTTCGATGACACAAGAAGGTCTTCTACTTAATTTTGTTCACCCAATAATCATCTTGCTAAAGTTAACTAGAGTTAAATTTTATTCTTTTTCACTTTACATATCAAACCTCCATGAAGTGTCCTTCACTTCATTTTGTTTCATAAAGATATTTCCTTTTGAGTTTCGAAAGTAAAGTAATAAAACTAACCAAAAAATGAAAACATATAATAAAAAATGAATTAATAAAAACTGAATTTCAAAAACTATGAAAGTAAAATCTTCACTGCAATTAAATCAAATTTAGGAATCTGCAAATGCATTCCGTCTGCCTCCTTACTCGTTCCTAGCAAAAGCATATAACTACAAAAATGTAGAGTTTGAGGTTCCACGGTAATTTCTTTAAGAGCTTATTCGTTTTCAGTATTTTCAGAAGAGAGAGAGAGAGAAAAAAAAAAAAAAAATTGGAAGCACAATAGAAGAGTAAATGCATACCAAGGTAGGCCAAAAGAGAACAAAGTTATAAAAGAGAGTATACTTCTTTTACATTTACGGTACTATATCCTTCACTAATCCAGTATGGATGGACAAAAGAAGAGCAGGAAAAATGCAAAAAAATAATACAGGTGATAATAAGAGATCTGATTATGGAGACCAGAGGAATATCCATAAGCGAGCTCTTGAAAGCGTATCTCCGTAAGTGCTCTCTAAAACCGTAGCAATTAACGCATGTGAAGCTTGGAATCAGCAAGCACGGCACCACCACATCACCAATCGCCACCACTAGCGGCAAAGACTCAAGCAACAGCGATGCCACCATCGTCACCATGAAATACACCGTCCGCACCCCCCTCAATACCTTCTCCCACCACCAAGCCCCTTTCGCCATCATTAATCCGCAACAATTTGCAATTTCCCAAAATTATTTCGAGACACTACAAGTTTCAAATATTCCTCGGATTTGAATCTTTCAAGTGGGACCAAGGGAAATACAAGATCGCAGAAATATCAAAACTCGAAATGGAAATGAAACTGCAGGAGACAGCGTGACAACGGCCATCTCCCGGCGTAAATTACGGCACCGGTGTTATAGTCCAAACTACGTCGGCAATCTCGTTATTAACCTCATCAATTTCTCCGTTTTCCAAAATTCAAAAACAACAAAAAAATGAATTTCAATATCGTTTCTTCGTCATCTGGTTTTCAATTTCATCTCTCTCTCTCTCTCTCTGGTGAATTTCTCTGTGCCTGCGAGTGTGTGCGAGGGAGAAACAGTGTCAGTGCGTGTTTTGAAAATGGGTCTTGTTTTTTGTCGAATACACACATACAAATTGGGAATGAGTTAAATAATAGTCACTCGGGTTCAAGAAATATTTCAAATTGGTCCCTAAAAGTATTTTTTTGTTACATTTATTAACTAAAGTTAAATAATTCCACACGATTGATATATTTGTTAGCCTAATTAATGCCACATACAACATAGAAGGGTTAAATCCTTAAGCATAATTATTAAATTTGAATTGATTTAATTACTCACAGTTATTAAAATCGAATCCGATTCTTTAAGAAAAAGTAGAACTGATTGGTTAAAAAGTCCAAAGCAAGAGTTTATATTCAATTTGCAGTCACCGATAGCCTAACAACATTGATCATTATGGCACACGCAAAACCTTTGTAATTAATGTGAGTGAAAAAAAAATATATATTTAGATTTCATAAAATTGCTATCTGATGTTTTAAAATATTTTTAATTAAAAATTACGATCTGATCCATCGGTTGAACAACTGACCCCACAATTAACTAGATAATTCGATAATATCTTCAAATCGCTGATCAAGTCGAGTCTGATAACTATGCCCTAACACGAACTAATGACATTAAAGCAATTAACTCCTAATCGTTCACCTATTTTAGCTTCTTCTTTTTTTAATGATGGAAAAATATGGGTTGGGGTAAAATGAATTATATAGGAATTTTTGGAGTTATGCCGCGAAAAAGTAACCACTTATTAAATATTATCTAACGGATTACAAGATTACTTTAACGACTAAATCGAAGTTCTACTTGAACTTCAGTGACCATCCAATGTAAATACAAATTGGAAATGAAAAGGCGTGATAATTAATTAATTAATTAATTAATTAATTAATAGGACAATGGTTGATTCGCTAATCCTGACCTTTGGCATGCTGGGGTTGGCAGCTTTTTAATTTGGACTCTTCTGCCCCTGTCCTTTGTTCTGGTTTAGGCGTGCAGCTTTTTACATGACAGAACTGCCCTCATATTTTGTACATTTAGCAATTATACGAGCTACATTATTTTCAAAGATAAGAATGGATTTTTAAATAATATATTGATAAAAAAATTTGTTATTAAAAAATAAAAAAAATTGAATTTGAATATAATAATATTTTATTAAAAATCACGTGGTTAAAATAATGTCAAATAATTGTCTAAAAATATATTTTAGAATCAAATTAAGCCCCCATTTTAATTTTAATTTTAATTTTAATACATTTTTTTCTTTTTCTTTTCAACCACTTATTTTTTTAATATAATAATGTTACATGCTAACTCAAAAAAATTTCCTCTTTTTTAACAGCACATTAAAAAAAAAAACAAAAACTATTTCAGAATTGGTTTTCCCCAAAACCTCAACTCAAACAAGGGCTATATCTCGATCATGTAGTTGAAATCAAATCAAACGAAACCACATGCTGTACTCCAAATCGACTAATTCTAGATAAAAATACAAACCCTACTTACATATCAAAAATTCAATTAGACATTTTGATTTTATTTATAAAAAAAATTGGACTGAAAATATTTTCAAATTTTTATCTAAGTGACACGTTCGATACGCTATATTAAAGAAAAATAAATATATGCATGTTTGGCTAAGCTTAAATTATATTTTAAACTGGTCTAGCACATTTTTTTTGTTCACACATTCTGTGACTCGTAACATATTACTCTTATTTACTCATTTTGTGGACCACTCGTTTAAATTTATTTGTCTCACTTCTTTTTTTTAATATTATTTAATAAATTTGCTTTTTCCCCCCTTTTAAGGCATGCAATTTCAACATGGACGTTATAAAAAATGAATATAATGGTTGTTGAGAGAGAAATTGAAAGCGTTCTCGAGATTTTAAACTCATGCACGGCTACTCCATTGCTGAGTTAGCCTTTGTTTGTCAATATTTTATCACTTCATTTTCAATTACACGTGATTGATTAAAATAATATTAAGTATAAATCGAAAATTTTTCTTTTTTTAATTATATATTTTTACTTCAATCACTATTCAATAATACACTTTATAAAATTAGAGGGGCGCAAACAGACCTTTAGTCAAATTATGATCTCATCAATTTCAACTATTGCACTAAGCCCTAAGGGTCCGTTTGATTGTAATGATGGAATTTTGATGGAAAAAAACGAATTTCAGGGAATTGAATTGCCTAAAACTTGTTTTCCTAAGATTTGTCAATTAAATGTGTTTGATTGGTATAATTTTTCACCTGAAAAATGTTGAAATTTTGGATCTTTTAGTATTCGTTTGACCTTATTTTTCATGAAAATTATCACTAAAGGGATAAAAAAAATTTTTTTTTACAATTGTTGATAGATTTTGTTCCCCTTGCTGAAAATTAAAAAAAATAAAAAATAATAAAGTTGGAAAACCCAGTTCCCATCATAAATGGTGGGAATTGGTTTTCCACAAATTTGAGGAAAACAAGTCAAGTGTTGGGGGAGCGAAATTGATTTCCATGGAAAAATTTTACTATCAAAAGGTGGAAAATGGCAAAAATTTTCCATTTTCCATATCAAACACAGCATAAGCATAAATTCAGCTAAGAGTATTCCCAAAAAAAAAATTAAAAATTAAAAAAAAAAATCCAACACCACAACCACTACCATTGGATATTCAAAAAATAAAAATAATTCAAATAATCCTTCTTCTCATTGAAAATTTATTGGGGGCAAATAAAATTCAATTGACTATTTGACCTTCAAAATGAATAATGTTGTGCAGTACAGCAGGCTATAGTATTAATTTACATGTCTTTAAATGACACTCCGTATTATTGAAAACGAAACTAATTTCTCTACTTTTAAGATAACATATTAATTATCGATATTTGAAGGTCACCAAGGGTACTCCTTCAAAATATATGAACGAAGATTATAAGTGATGTATTTAATGATTTGTCCCAATTATCTAATATCTCTTAAACAGTATCTAATATCTCTAAGATTCTAGATAGATATTGTATTGAAGATGTCTTTTCTATACTAACTAATTTATTACTAGGATTTGTTACATGTAATTTACATCTTCACATACGTATCTATTTATCGAGCCTCTCTTCAAGACAATATCCAGATCATCGGCACTGCTTTCTTTTCAAATAACACATGTTTTACGGGGGAATTTTGAAAGATGTCTTCAATTTCAAATAAATAAAAAAATTTAAGTATAACAAAATTACTACAAGAAAAAAGATCCGTGAATATAAATCTTCTTTTTGAAAATGATTACTTTCTCTTGATAGTCGTATCACACGGAATTTTTGGAATAATACAAAATTTGATATTTTTATACGAAATCATTGTAATTAATTAAATTAGTTTATTCAATTTAGGTCTATTCAAAATTGATTTGATGTCGAGTTTTAAAATTGAAAATTGATCAATAGCCACGCAACCAAATTTTGATTTTGCCCTAAATTATTTGTGTAATCCCTCAATTATGTCACAAGTTTACATGAATTAACTCATACCCAAAATAGTTGGTAGAAAAAAAGGTGAAATGAGATAAGAATTGATCTATTCTGATTAATAAATATTTTTTTTAATTCACAATATTAAAAATCAATTCAATTCTGATTAACAAGGTTTCAATTTTATAATCTCCCATGAAAATCGATTCGAAAAAGAACCGTGCTGGACATGACCCTGTCCAAGAAGATTTATCCTTACACCGATTGACCCATTTGATGCCGTTAAAAAAAAGATTTAGGGTTGGATGTCTCCGCTGACAATTTGGGAATATTTAAATTTCGCCTCATCCCAAATTAGACCGTTTTCCATAATAATTAGAGCGTGTTTGGGAGTGATTTTGAGAATTGATTTTTTGATTGTTAGGAGAAAAGTGAGGTCTACCTTTGAGAGAAGAAGTCAAATATAACGACTGGAATAATGAAATAACGATAAAAAAATCAATTTTTTAGATGAAAAAATCGCTCCCAAACAGGCCCTTAATACTATGCCAGGAACCGAAGAAGATTGTGGGAACACATGTTTTTTGTCAACTGGAATGGACATTCACGTGTTTGACTAAGTTTTCTGTTATTGCAAATCTTTAATCCTTATTTAATTAAAGCCGTTTGGGCTCCCATTTTTTCGAATGAAAATGAATCAAACGGTATTTTTTTTTTTTGAAAAATGAGGGATTGAAAAAGAAAGAAAATTTTTTAGTTTATGTATTATATTATTTTATGAAAAATTGTGTGATTGAAAATAGAAGAAAGAAAAATGAAATGAAATTTAATGGAGGCCAAATGGGAGCTAAGCCTCAATTTTGATAGCCATTAATAAAATTCTTTCTTTTTTTCAAATTTATTTTCTATCACACAATTAAGGAAAAAGAGTAAGATACATGTTGATTTTAATTTTTTTTTTTTTAGAAATTTGATTTGTATATTAAAATTTACTTGAAAATTACTGAATGTGTGAGAGCCTAATTTTTTGTACATTTTTCTCCTTGGTCACATTCGACCTACTATTTTAGATTGTTTATTACAATTTTTCAAGTATTACAGGACACGCTAAGAAACTAACACAAGTATTAAAGTCGTCCTAATATTTTCTTTATACATACAAAGTTTTATATATAAGGGTAAGGCGGATCTCTTTATTGTGAATTATACCTAAGAAAATAGAGAGACATGGGTAAAAAATACATTGTAAATTTTAGTTCGACATAGTGCAATGTTGTAGCAACATTAGCAGATGTAACTACACATTGGAACTAAACCACCTTAGAAAATCTCCAATACGTTCTATGTATTACTTTCTATTTGCTTTGTACGTAAGTTGAAATATTTTCGATTTATGTGAATTGATATCTAATTAATAGATTTTGAAGTCCAAAATTGTTTGCATTTAGTTCAATTTACAACCCTAGAATATTGTCTAACTGTCTTTTATTACATTTAAAAATATGCAAATGAAATATAAAGTTGTCAAGTTGAAAGTTTAATAGAACTTTAGGTACAATGCCTTTTTTCTTTTTCTTTTTTTTTTTCTT